CAGTCTTCATAGTAGCAGTCCTCACAATAGGCAAAAGATAGAAGCATACCAAGTGTCCATCAACAGAGTAATGGTTAAACAAAATAAGGTATATGCATACAGTGGAATATTATTCAGCCATAAAAAAGGAATAAAGCTCTGATACATGATAACATATGAATGAACCTCAAAGATCTTAGGCTAAGCGAAATAAACCAGTCACAATAAAACAAATGTTTTATTATTTCACACATATGAAATATCTAAATAGGCAAATTTTATAGACTGGAAGTATGCTAGAAGTTACCAGGGCCTGGAGAAAAGGAAAAAAAAAAGGAAGAAAAAAAAACTGGTGGTTATTTGTTAAAGGAAACAGAGTTTTGGTTTTGTGTAATAAAAACTTTTGTAAACAGACAGTGGTGACACATGCACAACATTGTAAATGTAATTAATGCCGTGGAATTGTACACCTAAAAATGGTTAAAATTGCAAATTTTCTTTTATATATATTTACCTCAATAAAATAGAAAACAAAAATAGGGAACATATGTTTAAATAATATTAGAAAAAGAAACATGACTAAACTGCAGATCCAGCATAGATTAAAAGAAAGTGATTAACTAGATGGCAATGATTTTGAAAACTTTCTTAGCATTGAAATGCTTCTAAGAAAATTAAACTAGCTTAAATCGACTCAAGGGGAAAAAAAAGGCCTACAACTATAAAATAAAAAAGCAGTAAAATGTCAACTACTGCTCCCCAAAAGGAGGCTCAGATGTTTTTTGTTTGTTTGTTTGTTTTTTAAAGATTTTTATTGGGGAATTGGTGGAGGGGAACAGAGAAGTTGCTGTCCTTTTGTTCTTCAGTCTAGTTGTGGAGGACGTCGCTTAACTGGCCCGTGTTGATATCATCATTGCACTCTTCCTGGGTTAGGCAGATCGGTCACCGGCCCCTGGACGGCCGCTTCTAGTGGCTCTTGGCAGCTCACGCTGGCTGTGAGTCACTCACGGTAGCTTATGGCAGCCCACTGCCGCCCCACTGCAGCCTACGCCGTCGCTGGCGACTTATGGCAGCCTAGCTCCAGGTGGAGCTGTTGCTCACCATCTTATCTGTAGAGGGTGCAGTGTCATTGGCCCTAATGTGGGATCTGAACTGGGGCCATGCTGTTCAGAAGTGGCGTCTCAAGCCAACTCTTAATCAACGCGCCACTCGGCCAGCCTTTAGATGATTTTATAGGATACTTTTTCTTAATTTTCAAAAAACAGATTAGAACATCTTGCATTATAGAAATGAAAGTGTACACTTGACAACTTATTTGATGATACCAATACATTTTGATAATAAATCAGCAAGAAAAACTAAAAGAAGACCAGTTCCTTATTTTCAGAAAGTATATGTACATTAATAATATTCTTAATGCTGGAACATTAAAGCTTTACTTTTTAAATGAGGTACAATTTAATGAGGCTATCATCTATTCTAATAAAAATTATAGCAGAGATCCAAGGCAGTTAAGATAAAAGAAATTTAGAATAAGTCTTAAAAGCAAGCATTTAAATTGTTAATTACAGAAGACATGCTTGTTATATGGAAAAAAATAAAAATAATTTACAAAGGTTTTTAAATTATAGAGAAGGCTTATCAAGTTGCCTACATATGAGATCAGTAAGCAAAAATAAATTTTATTTCTATATACAACAGCAAACAGTTGAAAATATAGATATATGCCATTTTCAATCACAACTACAAAGAAATATTTTAACATATGTATAAAAAAATCGAGTGTCTGTCTTACAAGATAGTCTTGTTTTACAGCAAAAATGGTTAAGCCAATCTGTGTTGGATCAGGGATAGATAAACTGATCAAGAGTACAAAATCTAGAGCCCCCAAACCAGCACCCTCATATACTGAATCTTGATGTGTGTCTGATTGCCATTCAGAGCACTGGGGAAAGAGGACTATTTATTCAATTAAGGTACTGAGTCAATTGCTTGTTCATATTGGAGTTAAAATTAAAAAAAAAAAGTGATGCTGTATTAGTTTTCTATTGTTACATAATAAATTACCCAAAATTAGCATCAAACAAAATAAATTTGTTATCTCACAGTTTCCCTGGGAAAAGAGTTTAGACATGAACTAACTGAATCCTTCTAAAGGTCTCACCAGAATAAAATCAAGGTGTTGGTCAGGGCTGTGATCTCATTTGAGTCTGTAAAACCAAGCTCACTTGATTGTTGGAAGAATTCTGTTATTGTGGCTGTAGGACTGAGGTTCTCAGTTTCTAAAGGCCACCCACTCTTCCTTGCCATCTGGGACTGTCCATAACACTACAGTGTGTTTCTTTAAGGGCAAACAGGAGAGAATCTCTTCTGATTATTTTGTTTCTCACTTCTAGACCTTCTTTAAAGGACTTTCGTGACAGGGTCAGGCCCACCCAGGGTAATCTCCCCTTTGATTAACTGCAACTCAACTACTTAGAAACCTTAATTACATCTGTTAATCTGGAGTATCACTTTATGTTATCCATATAATGTGAATACTGATGGGATTCATACCCAATCATATTAATAGGTTTTGCCCACAATCAAGGGAAAGGGATTACATAGCTCATCGACATGGTTAGGGGCCAGCTTAGAATCCTGCTCACCATACACACCTACTTTATATATTCTTTAACAGTCACTTCCCAAAGATTAAAGTTTTGAAGAACATTTCTTTATGGCCTTGGGTCACAGGCCAATGTAAAAGTGCTAGTTATAAAAGAATAGATTAACAAATCCAAGTTTAATGAAATTAATCATTTCTTTTGTTCAAAAGATTTAACAAAGAAAGTGATGAAGAAGACTATAAATTTAAAGATGATGTTGCAACACACATAACACGTCATGGATAAGTATCCGAAATATTTAACGCTGATCTCAACTGGTGAGACAGGCCCAATGGTTTATTATGAATGATATATTATGAATGAGTAACGGGTAGAACTGAAATATTGACCTTAGCTCTTTGTTAGGCAGGGCAGCGGGGGCTGGGTAAAAATCCTTCCATTGCAAGCAGCCTCATCTGCTCACCTCATTGGGTCTATTATATTCTATGTGTGCTATAATGTAAAACTGTTGGGAATCACTGATATAAAGAATCCCTGCAATCGATAACAAGCAGAAAAACTGTCCAAGTGAAAGATAGCCAAAATACAGATAGTCCTGTCACAGAAAAGGAAACATAAATGGCAAATAAACATATGAAAAGATATGCAACTTAATTAAAATGAAAAAGTGCAAAAAAGAGCACATTTTGCATTCTCTAGATTGGTAGAAATAATGAAATTTAATGTACACAAGGTGTGAGCATTTGAATTGGTAAAAATTTTTGAAAAATCATATATATAGCAAAATATTATAACATTGAAATTTTGCTTTATTATCCAGTAATTGCACTCCTAAATATATAACCTAGAGATGTACTTGTACATTTGAGCCAAAAATGTTTAATTTTGCTCATAACCATGTTGCTAATAATAGCAAAAAAGGGGAAAGAATCTAAATCCCTATTGAAAGGCAGTTATTAATTGAGAGTATTTATATTTAACTCAGCATAGAACAGGAAAAGAGATTATTTTAATTTCAGTCATGTAAAATGAATAATTCAATTTTTTATATATATTCTGTGTTTAAACTTGACTTAACAATTGCTTCAATCAATGCTAATATAAAACCATTTTTTAAAGTATGCATAATAATAATTTTTTGTTATAAGCTTTAACAATGCCAGGATATGAAATCTCTCATGTTTTAGAATTTGTTTTCATGATACTAAAGTAACAAATAGTTAAGATGATGATTAAAGAGATGCCTTTTTTCTTTATTTTCTCATAATATTGTTAAACTTACATCTATTTTCTTTATCTGGTGATGAATAATACATTATTATACATTAATTTCTGCTCAAAGAATGATTGTATATAGGATAGGATCTATGTAATTTCTTCCTGTATTGATTCTTAATTACATTATTTTTAATATTACATTCAGTTCCTAATTTAAGAATTACAATTTAATTAAATGATGGATATTTGCATAGGAGCATAAACAATGTATGAATGCATGAGTATGTTTCAGTAAGAAATAATACTAAATTATTCATCATGGTGTAATGTGTCTTCCAAAGTATTTTGCTTTGTGTGCTAAGCGAGATATTTTGGGGGTTTATCTCTCCAGTGCAGCTCCCAGGGTTTGGGGTGCCTGATATGGGACCCAACCCCTTGCTCCTCCATGGGAAGTGCCTCTCTGGTGAGATCCCTCCCTACTGTGTGTCACCACGCCAGGGGTAGTTTTTTTGCGAGATCATGTCTCTGCCTTTCCTACCGACTCGATGTGGTCCTCTTATCCTTTGTTGTAGAGAACACCAGTTCATCTAGATTTCAGATTATTTTTCAGAGGGAAATGATCCATATGTAGCTGTACATTTGCCGTGTCTGAGGGAGGAGGTACGTTCAGGATCTTCTTACGCTGCCATCTTGGGCTCCACCCCCAACACCTTTAAATCGGTGATCAAGATTCACATTTAGCTCTGATTTTTTTCAGGCTATTTAACGGAAATAGCACGCTGTGTTAGCTTTATAAAAAAAATATATGCAAGTGTATGGAAAACCACTCTCCACCTACAGGGACTTTTTATAAAGCTTTCTCAGAGTAGATTTGCATTAATCATGCTTCAAAGACTTCAAGTAAGAATATTCTATAAACAGAAGCCATGCCATTTCATTGAAAAATTATTACAGATGGTACAATGCAGCAAATTAAAATTGTGTGATAATTATAATGAATGAACCATAGGAATAGTCTGACTAGTCTGATGTGATCTGGTATCATAGTATGAAATATATATATATATATATATATATATATATATATATATATATGTCTGATGTGCATTTTAAATGTTTTTCCGCCATTGCTTTCTTTTTGTCTTTATTGCATAATGCTATATATTTGAGATGTTGATTTCTGTTTATTGCTAGGTTATCCAGATAAATTTTGAAGAATTCGACCTGGAGATTGGCTATGATACTTTGACAATTGGTGATGGGGGCGAAGTTGGAGACCCCAGGACAGTGCTTCAAGTGTAAGTTCTCAATGCTTCATTCTTGACATTGCCTGTCAGGTTTTTATGAAATTTTCCCCTTATTATTATTTTTTTTTATTGATCTCCCACAACCCTGCAACAGAAGAAACAGCACCTTAGTTATTATCACCGACCTACATATAGTAGTCCTTCTTCAATGATTCTTAAGGTACTTGATTCAAGCATAACTTTTTATTAATAAAATCCACTGCCAGACAGGAGCCCTTTGGAAATGGAGGCCTGGAATGACATTGCAGAGTTGTTGATTGGACCATATTTTGGCAAACACCCTTGCCAGCACAAAGTTTAAAAATAAACTGTAGAAAACAGATATAAAATTGATCCCAGAGACATACTGGTACTAAAGCCTGATGGGTGCCCCTCACTTTTTGGTGGCAAAATCATCCCTAGCTATCAAGATCTGGAGTTGAGAGTGTATCAGTGGTTTGAAACTTGAAGTATTTAGCAATGAAACATGAAGTAGTTAGCAATGAACCTCAGTTATCTCAGCGTTGGGATAGTTAGAATAGACCAGGTATATGGTTCTTAATGGGAGCTAAAAGAATGAACATGTGTTGGAAAAAAGGGAAACGTCAGGAACTTATTTATTGCCATGTCCTTGGGCTATTCATTCCAATAATCTGCTTCTGATAACGGCATGAAGAAATCTTTCAGGGAGAGCATATCGCTTTCCCTGCTGTGAGCTTAGGGTTTGCTTTCTCTCCAAGTTCCTTTTCATAACTCCCGATTTGCAACTCAGGCTTTATCAACCCAATATTTCTCAGAATGCAGTCTTTTGTATCACAGTTACCTGGTGCACTTTTTAAAATGTAGGTATCTAGACCCCCATGCCTGACTTATTGAATCAATACATCTGGCATTTCGACCCCAAAATCAGCATTTTAATAGACTCACCAGGGGATCTTTATGCATACACAAGTTTGAGAACTACTTATATAAATATTTGAACATTTATTTTCTAGATGTGATGTGCTGATCATGTATGTATTTCTTACTGTGTATATTGACTAAAGATAAGCTAATTTTCTTCCATCCTTTTCTCTTTTTTCGTTTTCTCTGCTTTTTTTAATTTTACAAGGTCTCCCGTAATAATGCCAAGGGCTTACCTTATGTGTGCATTATAGGCCCGATATTATTTTCTCTCAGTTGTTATGTTTTCAGGAAAAAAATAAATACGTAAAACTAAAACAAAACAACAAAAAAAGAAGAAAGAAAGGAAAACCCCACTCTTCTTACATGTCTTCATGCACACTGAACCTCACCTTCAACCTTTTCCTCTCCCCACAACACACATACCATTGATCTCCACAATTTTGTCTGTCTCTAAGCCCACTAGTTTCATCCTGTGCTTCCTAATGTGGATGGACAAGAGAGTCAGTATTTTACACGTTCTACATGTTTGGCTGTGTTGTTCAAATCGTTTGTAACACTTTCCTCCCCCTTCCACCATCCTCTTAAAAAGGCTCAGCATTTTGATCAGGATGATGAGCCTAAGTCTAGTAGGCATTTTACTTTATTACACTAGTATCTTCCAGAAATAATCTACAGTTCTTCCTAGATTTCCTTGTGGCTGTATACCTGATAGCTTAGATTTCATTGTACTGTAATATTGTATTAGAAATTGGCAGCTACAGAGTTAATCTGCTCAGTGGGTATATGTTTTGTTGTTGTTTTGGAGGTATAGGGTTTTAAAGAACTGGAGGTTACAGATAAAAAAATCAGGAGTTATATCAAAAGTTTTCTTTTGACAAACTGGCAACACTGGGCCTGGCTTATCACATAGCAAAAATCGGCTGGAACTATCGTCTTATCTCCTTTAGAGAGTGTTCTCCATGGCCACTAATCTTTGTACTGTTTCATGCTTGAGTGTTTAAGAACCTTTGCATTGCCTACCTGGGCCAATAGCCATTTATGGATATGACACAACACAAAATTTGGTTTTGTCCTTAAATGTGTTACTTATTATTTTCCAAATAAAATTGTGCCTGTTCCTTTAGCTGACACTTTAGAAAAGTGGAAGTCTCTTGGACATTAATGATACACTGCAAATTTGGTAACTGATCCTCACACATTTTCAGACCAATCTTTCTGCATGTTAGACAGATCATATCATAGATACTTCAGAAATGAAACTATAAAAGGTGTATGCGATTGGACATATCTTCTTTTTTCTGCTTAAGATAGAGGACTGGATTTTAGGTTTAGATTCTTCAAAACATGTCGGCCAACTGTCTAGTCAGTTAACTAAGAGGCTTTTTTCCTGTGTCTGCACAAAACAAAAGTTAGTGTCTCAGCTTCAGATCAAGTATTAGAAGTCATCTTATACAGCTAACATCCCACATCATAGATGGTATGGTGTCCTTTGATCATTGTCTGTAAAGATTTGTGAGCTAACTAGTATCAAACAACTATATGTAAAAAAAAATTATGGGTAAATCTGTACAGCAATCCAATAAGACACAGAGAGAAGATATCAAAATTATTATCTTAAATATCCAACCATTAGAACTAGTAAAATTGAAAAGTACATTAACTGGGATTTAGCAGTAATTTGTATGATCTCTGATGTTAAAAAAAAATCATAATATGTTTGAACCATATAATTTACTCTTTTCCAATGTTAAAAAAATTATGAAGACAATCATAAATCAGGATATACCTGGTGACACTCTCTTTATAAAATTGTTATATTAGTAACAGAAAAC